TGATTGGTCCGAGATGACGAAAATGTGACGTACATACTTACTCTTTTAAAATCCAAATGAATCCAAATTTTCATTTTGTGTTATCAAAGAGGCYTCTGMAAATCAGGTTTTAGATTCCAATAGAAAGCTGTTTTCAGTTCTTGAGTCGCATAAGTTTGTGGTCGACAGCAGCAAACATGTTCTCAGTTGAATGTACTTGAACAATTTTTTTAATTAAAAATTTTTTTTTTATTTAATTTTTTTAATTTTTTAATTAAGACTAGTGAGCAACACTACGGAGAACGTGAATAGAATTGCTATTAATATAAGTGGAAATCAGATATGAAATAAAATATTACAAAATGCGCGCTAACTTGTGAAACTATGTCAGATTTTAATGTTTCAACCAATGAGATGAATGGGCTGTAAAATACACAAGGAGAATTCAGCTTGAATTGTTAACTATTTATTAATCATTTGTAGCGCTATTTGTATAACTGATTAAATGCAAATGAGCTGGAAAATAGGAAGAATCAAAGAAAATTTGTAAAAGAGTGCTTTCAATATGAAAAATATTACTCATCTTGTAATGTTTACAGTTTAAAACCCGTCAACAGGCAATCGCCTATATTTGTACGATTTACATAGGTCACTCTTTAAAAAAATAGCATTTCGACAGTTTGATAGCCATAGTAGTAACGATGGCTTGATTGTGTTGACTAATTTAAATAATCTTAACACGAGCAGAACAATAGAAGCTTTTGAAATGTGCAATCACAAGAGCAACATAATATACGGTTGTATAGGACGTTTTCTTTCAATAGAATAAACTAGGAGCCTATTCTTTATAACTCTTGCTCAACCAATTTGTATTTACATTCAATGACGAAGCCGTCAAAGCCGAAACGTCTGAAATTAAAGATCATAGTATAATTGTCCCTTCTGAAGTCATACCTTTTCATGGGCGGATCCAGGGGAGGTGCTTTCGGCGCGGACGCACCCCCCCCTTTTCAAACGACATAATTTTTTTATATATCAGTATCAATTTTTTGTGTTCTCTTTATACTGCTATTGTATTTTTATCAAGGAAACGCTAGTAGCATACACAACATGTGTCTGCCACTATGCAGCTTAACAATGTATTTGAGTAGTGTAGTCAAAGATACGTTGCAATAAACGTTAATTTGCTTCCGGTCAAATTGTGCATATTTTTCTTKCTCTAGACAATACGCGCTAACAAAAATGATCAGTTCCATCTGCTATACTTATACAGCTATTTCARAAAACGTTGTSGGGGAGAACGGYGAACGGCGATTGTCGAAGGGAGATTGYACGACCGAAAGGGACTATGRTYACACTGTTTTGATAAACAAAAGTTCACTTATTGGATTAGCCTTACATAGAAATGGAGACTAAATGGAGCCAATGTTTACCACAGACCATCTTACAGTACAAATCAGTTGCTATTACCTTTCAACTAGCAAAACCCATGGCTACTTTCGGTCGTGCAATCGCCGTTCGACCATTGACATTCGCCATTTCATCCGACAACCTATTTTGAAACAGCTATATATTATTACTGACAAAAGCACCTCCCCTTACAAAATGCTGGGTCCGCCCCTGCTTTTCTTTTCTAAGACATTGTTTGAATCTTTCTACCATAAAAGAAGTAAAAATTCTCAAAAATAGTTGCCAGTCAAAGGGTAAACTAATCATAATTTAGAAATCTCACTACAGGAAACGCTCTGTCTGCCTATATATTAACTGAAAAATGTACGAAACGCATCTTAATAAAGCTGAATCTTTCTGAGATACTGATTTCTTTTGTTTCAAGAACTCAACAAAAGAAATAAAAGCAAGCCATGTAGCTACAGAAGGAAATTTGAGAGCTTTACAACGAAATGTGATGACGAGCACTGTGATATCGTTAGACATATAACAAAGTGCTACACAGCAGTTTTCCTTGGATTCGTTTTGAGTGATGATTACAAACCCAGCTTACATTCGGTAAGAAAACAAAACATTTTGAAGCTGTCTTTATATGGTGTTGGATGCTATATTTTAGAGATCAAAAATGATGGAATAGACCTAATCGGCTAACGCGTTACCATGTACGTTACCATCCAATTCAAATCCTGTTGGGAAAAGAACTTTTGTTTCTAAGAATTGAACCATGAAATGAWAATACAACGATCAATGAAACTTATTCCCGGGTGTTTTTTTTTTTCCTTTAAGGATCCAGCAATTTTGTTTTTCTCAACAATGTTTATGGTGTTTGGTGATCATTGAATGTTACAATTCTTGCTTCTTCAGACCCAAGTGTTAAGCTTATTCTAGTGATTGACTGTTCACTTTCCAGATGAGAAGGGAAAATGATGATCCACATTTCCAAATCTTAAAAGGAAACGATCGAAAATAGTAATAAACTGAACAAAGGAGATCAATCAAATAATGTATCGGTCATTAAGAAATTGGTATTATTTTCCAACAAACACCAGTGCTTTGATAAAAGCTATACTTCACGGCAATAATGAACTATCAAGTGAACTAATTACTAAAGGTGAAGACCCTAATGTCACAGATTATGAAGGACGAACACCGTTGATGTGCGCTGCTTTCAAGGCCAATAAATGGTTTGCTGAAATATTAATTGATGCAGGTTCTGAAGTCAATCAAAGAAATCATAATAAACAAACGGCCCTCTTTTATTCAACTGCGAATAACAACGAAGAGGTTGCACGAATGTTGATTGAGAAAGGTGCTGATGTCAATGTATCTGATAAAGATGGACAAACTCCTTTATTCAGTGCAGCTACAAATAACAACGAAGAGGTTGCACGACTGTTGATTGAGAAAGGTGCTGATATCAATGTATCTGATAAAAATGGAACAACTCCTTTATTCAGTGCAGCTGACAATAACAACGAAGAGGTTGCACGACTATTGATTGAAAAAGGTGCTGATG